GCTACCAATGAACAAAGTTGGATGTGCGATTCTTGCCTGGATTGAGGATAGGGCAAGTGCAGCCCCGTGCGGTCCAGGACTCGGGGTAAAGGGTGACGCGACTGCGCTGTATCTTCATTTTGGTGTTCTGACTGAGTACCTTCTGAACTTTGACCTCCACCTCAGCATGGGAGCCCTTATCGTGAGCTGCTAGCACTCTCACCTTCAGCACTGGAAGTCAGGGAGAAATGCAACAAGACCTTCAGTGCTGGAGTGTTGTTACACCAGAACAACTGCTTTCTGCATTAAATGCGACAAAACAATGTGATCCATGAAGGAGGCTGTCGTGGAAAGTTTGGTTACTGGATGAACTTCAAACAAAGTTTTAATCTGATCAGTTTGAAACTCAGATCAGGTTTTCTTTCCCCCCGACGGGCTGGAGCAGAATTAATCATTCCTCTGAATGCTGGGACTTTTTCAAGTAAAGAAAGCGAATTGTGATGCTTTCTTCAGATATCTTGACTGTTTTTGTAATTTTTTAATGAACCATTTTATTACAGGTTCTGTTTAATGTTTTGGTTGCTGTAACATATTCATTTACCAACTTGTGGGATAAATAAAGTACGTATAATTAAAATACAAAGACAGACTGAATCAATGAGCATGAGTATAACAATGTTAGACATAAATACAGTAAAATAGATGATTTACATTTAAATGCATTAAACTAATCAGGTAAAGCCAGGCTTACATGAGTTACAGTGCATGTTTGGAGATGTTTGAATGCTTACCGTATGCATAATTCATGGTGCAAAAGAGTTTGCTGTTGGTCAGACTTTGCTCTTGGCACTCACACTTCTCTGCAGGGGGGACATGCAAGAACAGTTTCATATTTGTAGCATAAATAAATAACTTTTTCTCTATGTGTGTGTGTGCACGTGTTGCCTCAGATACTGTATGTGATGTCCTAAGACTAATAATAAGTACAGTGTGTGGCGTCCAGTGAGGAATGTGCCAATAAAAGCTGGAGTTACAGTGTGGTGGTACTGAGGGTCTGCGAGAAGAGACCTCCACTTGGAAACTGTCCTTGCACGCACACGCACACACACACACACACACACACACACACACACACACACA